GTCTCAACATTTATTTTTTGGGTTGCCATGGAAGCATCATCTTCAGGTTATTTTGTCCGGTACTTTAATAAGCAAATTCCTTCAAAACTAATGACATTCCCATCAGCCTTCAGCTGTATTTTGTTTAAGTGCTAATAAGCTAATGTTAGCATGCACAGCCTAAACGCTATATCCGCTAATTAGGTGTTGCAGGTTTCGGCCTGTCCAAGGACATCCAAGGGTCTATAACTACGCTGAAAGGAAAACATTGAAACATTTGATGAGGTTTGATATTCTTTTGTTATCAAAAAGTTTGCTGAAGGCATTATAAAAGATCAAACTTTCCACTTCACGATTCTGTGTCAGCTCATGTCCATGTAGAAAGCATGACTGGCTCTGGACTGCGTATCCTCTAAATTAACTTTTCAGACCATGTGAGTGAGATGATCGACTGACTGGGCAGCTGTGGCTCAACAGAGCGAGTTGTCCATTAACATCCAGGTCAGTGAGTCGTTGCCTGATCTTTCCTACGGTAGCGAGACACCAACACATCCTCACTCCCAGGTCGGCCTATGTTGACGTTATGTCAAGTCCCCTGTGTCGGCTTTTTCCAACGCAAGGGGGGCGGCCCTTAGCGTACATTTTCAACTTTCCGGGATGTCATAGGCTTCTATATAGCTCCCTAAACATATGTTGTAAACGACTTGAGATCGCGAGCGAAGCATACGTTGCGAGACTGCATTGCATTAAAAACATTATGCTCTCTATATATTGTCTTTATTATGCTTTAAACAGTGTCTCGGGCTTTGGCTATAGGGCGGCTCAAAGTATTTTGTCCGGCCGTTGTGAAGACTGCTTTGTTTATTGTCCTTGTTTTTGTTTTAAATAAAGCTTTTTCAATCGACGCATGCCAAACATGTGACGTCATATGATGCGTTGCATCTGCGCACAGGGAGCAGGGAGACCCCGAGCTCCGTATAGAGTGGCGAAGTCCCTCCCCTTCCGGTGGACCTCCATGGGATCTTATTTCGGAAAAATTATGTATTGAAGTCAATGGAGAGAGAAAGTTTATCTTTCGATCCCGTTTGAATTGTGCCACGAATTACACATATGATGTTTGTCAATTTAAAAGATAATTTTGCAAGTCAAAAAAAAATAAATGTGTCGTAAAACTGTGAAGTAACACATTTGTTTGTGTGAAACGCTCAATGAACTACATCTCTGGTCTCGCACAACAACACACAAGATGGCCGTCACTACTGTCTACAAAACGATTGACTACCCTCACTATCACCACAATGAAACACGTCCTGAAGAAAGTCATGCAAAGCTGCCTGCCTGCCTTCCTTTGATTCTCTCTGAACTGCCTGGTCTTTTTAATGTTTAATGTCAACCATTTGTGCAGATAGCATGAAGTAGAGAAGATCGCTAGCGTTAGCGTTAGCATTTCTCCCCCGGGCTTAAATTGTGTATTATATAATGATCACACCGGTGTGACAGTACTCTTCAAAGGGTTCACGAAATATGACTACTACTCTTACTGTTTAACATGTTGGGTTACTTCATGTTACTTCATGTTAAGGCTAATAAAAATGACAAGGCTGTAATGCTAACTAACGTGCTAGCTACTAGCTAGCTTGATCCAGACACTCCTGGTCCTTTCATCAGACGGGAAGCGAAAGAACGAGCAAGACCCGCTGGTATGATAACAACTTGGTACTAAGCACATAGGCATCTTGTTAAAGTTATCTTATCTTAGCCAGCTGATCTTAGCTATCTCTTAGTGGAGGAAAACAATTGTGACATCACTTACGCGACTCTGGGATTTGTAGTCTTTCTAGTTGCGTATTTTTCATAGTCTTATATTTCAACAGTTTTACGACAAACTGTGACTTTTTTGACATGGAAATGATTTTTTAAGATTGACAAACATCATATGTGTAATTCATGGCACAATTCAAACGGGATCGAAAGATAAGTTTTCTCTCTCCATTGACTTCAATACATTATTTTTCCGAAATAAGGTCCCATGGGGCGGAAGTAGATGGGCGTGACTTCACCACTCTATTCCCCGGAAGGGGAGGGACTTCGCCTCTCTTTAATAGAGTGGCGAAGTCCCTTCCCTTCCGGTGGACCTCCATGGGACCTTATTTCGGAGAAAATATGTATTGAAGTCAATGGAGAGAGAAAGATTATCTTTCGATCCCGTTTGAATTGTGCCACGAATTACACATATGATGTTTGTCAATTTAAAATATAATTTTGCAAGTCAAAAAAAATAAAATGTGTCGTAAAACTGTGAAGTAACACATTTGTTTGTGTGAAACGCTCAATGAACTACATCTCTGGTCAACAACACACGTCACCAAGATGGCCGTCACTACTGTCTTGTCAACAAAACGATTGACTACCCTCACTATCACCACAATGAAACACGTCCAGAAGAATGTCTTGCAAAGCTGCCTGCCTGCCTTCCTTTGATTCTCTCTGAACTGCCTGGTCTTTTTAATTTCAACCATTTGTGCAGATAGCATGAAGTAGAAAAGATCGCCGATCGCCGATGCTAGCGTTAGCGTTAGCATTTCTCCCCCGAGCTTAAATTGTGTATTATAGAATGATCACACCGGTGACAGTACTCTTCAAAGGGTTCACGAAATATGACTACTACTCTTACTGTTTAACATTTTGGGTTACTTAATGTTACTTCATGTTAAGGCTAATAAAAATGACAAGGCTGTAATGCTAACTAACGTGCTAGCTACTAGCTAGGTACCTAACTTGATCAAGCCACTCCTGGTCCTTTCATCAGACGGGAAGCAAAAGAACGAGCAAGACCCATTGCTGGTATGATAACAACCTGGTACTAAGCACACAGGCATCTTGTTAAAGTTATCTTATCTTAGCCAGCGCCATATAGATAGATTCTATCTATATGGCGCTGATCTTAGCTATCGCTTAGTGGAGGAAAACAATTGTGACATCACTTACGCGACTCTGGGATTTGTAGTCTTTCTAGTTGCGTATTTTTCATAGTCTTATATTTCAACAGTTTTACGACAAACTGTGACTTTTTTTACATGGAAATTATTTTTTAAGATTGACAAACATCATATGTGTAATTCGCACAATTCAAACGGGATCGAAAGATACGTTTTTCTCTCTCCATTGACTTCAATACATTATTTTTCCGAAATAAGGTCCCATGGACCGGAAGTAGATGGGCGTGACTTCGCCACTCTATAACAACGCGTGTGTCGCGTTGCACTTAAAGTCCATTGATGAATGTAGTAATAAGGTAAGAGCTTCATTCATAATTTGTGTATAATCAGAGACGATGAAAACCATTAAATATACACCAAAACTGTTATTAAGTCCAGTCAGCAAGTATTGTAAGCACCTTAAGAAGAGCAAGGTAGTCGTTTTGTGAGTTTGTGAATCCTTTTAAGACATTAAAATACAACTTACTGGACTATGCTAGCTAACGGCTACTAGCCATTAGCTATTATTCATTAGCTATTAGCTCGTAGAATCTTACATTTTAATAGGGTATAACTGAGTGAATTGACTGAATGACACCCAATAAGAGCAGTCCAAATGATTATTCCTACATGTTTATGACAGATGTGTATCTTATGCACAGCCCTTCAAATATAGTGTTACTTTTATTTGTCAAATATAATCATACTTTACCTTTACTTATCCCACAGAGGGGACATTTACAGACATTTAACTTTAATTAAGAGGCATGCATACATTTAAGATAAAAAAATAAATGACAATTTATGAAACTACACATCCAGGTTGAACACAAAAGATAGTGTAAAAGGTAAATTTTCTAAATATTGTTTATCTTCTTTCCACACAGGTCTTTTGAAGTTGATATACCCCTGTGATCTGCCATTCAATCACCCACCCAAAGGCACTTTTAAGAGCCATATTTGTTTTGTCAAACCGTCCTTTTCAGTGTGCCTTGTCCTTACCTGTGTTGCTGTCTGTGTATCTCTCTCTCTCACTCTCCCTCTCTCGCTTTTTCCCTATCTGTGCTTACCCCTTTTTTTGTCTTATCTGTCTGTGTGAGTGTTTCTGTCTGTCTGTTTGTCTTTCTGGGCATCACCATGAGTGATTCAGAGCTCCAAGATGTCCTTAAGAGCCTAGATTATGTTATTGAACAGGAAGAACAAGAAGAACTCAATAATGAGCTCCAAGATGTCCTTAAGAGCCTAGATGATCTTATTGAACATGCAGAACAAGAAGAACTCAATAATGAGCTCCAAGGTCTTGATAACTTGATTTCCAAGCAGCGGGATGAGGATGCAGCAGCACCAGTGAAGACACCTGAACCAATTGTGAAATGGAAAAAGAGAGACGTAGATGGTAACCAAATCTTTGAGAGACCAAAAGCAAGCAGGAATCTGCCAAATCAGGGTGAGTATTTAATTTTCACTATATGTTGAAGAACTAGAATGTTTACTATCTAATGAGTATTACAACAACAGCATTACATTAATTGTTGTATAAGGAAAACAATCAAACCAACGGCAAAACATTTTTACATTTGAAAGGTAATCTGACATGATTATAGCACTTGACCAGATTATTTGACTAAATCTAATTCTATCTAAGGGGTAATGAAGACATTTAAATAGTATTTATGGTAAAGGTTTTTGTTTTGTACAGCTGGTTCCAGTCGGAGGAAAGCTCCTCGTGTTGATGCTCCTGACACTGACTGAGATGGTCTTTGCTCCAGAGACTGTTGGTATGTATTGTGTCTCTGCAACCCTAAATCAGGGTTGGAGACACCAATCAGGTCAGTCCTGTGCCTTGCATGCCTGCCATTACTGCGAAAACTGTTAGTGCTCTGTATAAAAGCATTGTATAAATGCAGTCCATACTCATTAAACTCATCGCACCATTTAGTGTACCTTCGTATGGAAGTGCATCTGCTACATCTCTCCTCTCATTACATTTTTTCATCGGTAGTTCTCATTAAATAACTGCACACAAACAAAACAACTTTTACCTTTTTATTTCCCAGAACATACATTTATTCATCGTCGTAAACATACACAGTAATAAAGGTTGCTGCAAACATTTATAGTGCAATTTGTGGACCAGGTAGCTTAGAAGTATGTGAGGTAAACAGCAATTATTGTAGCTTTATATTTCTGACTAATCAGCCTCAGCATATACTGTCAGCCAAGCAGTACATGCTCGCTTTAGTCTCAGCTAAGATGCTATCATAAATTAAAGCTCTATGTATTTTAAAGTGCACATTTTTTAGAGCTAGTACAATATGTACTACTTGTTCAGCTCTGATGATAAGATTGCCTGGTCTTAGTTAATGAGGAAAATGACTTGCGCTGTGCCAGACGCTTGCTAACGAAGCATGGCACCCAGATACAGGCAAGTTACAAATGACCAATTACAATTTATAACTAAAAGGATTATATTTCCATCTGGCAGATGATCCTGTCTCACCATGCACGTCATGAGTGTTTTGACTCTGACTGGGACCCTGGCTCAGACTGGAGCTCAGCAGCCAAAGCGAAGGCCAAAATATCATCCACACACACACACAATCGTAAACAAGGATATTTATTGCAGATTCTCTGATGTGATGTGTGCCTGAGTGATGAAGCTGCCGTTAAATCTCACAGCTATCCAGCGAAAGATGTGCTAAAATACTCACTCCTTTAGGGTATTGACTGGCTTGAGACAAAGGGAAACTCACCCTAATAAATACGTCGCCATAACCTCACTTCTGCAAATGAGTGCATCTTGTCGGATGGTGTTTTACTTTGTAAGCGATGGATAGTTTCCTGCTAGGCGACAGTTGTTGCTGTCAAATCTAAAATTGCTTCCTCCTTCTGCTCTCAGTCTTTCCACTTTAATTCCCCCTTGTAGCATTTGTGGCCATGCTGCTACTGCTTTTCTTCGTTGTCAAACTATCTGTGGGGCTTTTTGTCATGACAGTACCACCTGCTGTTTCATCCTTGTTCTTTTGGAAACAGAAGACCCCGTAGAGGCGGAATTTTTTATCAGGGAAGCCCAGGTGTCGGACGCCTGGCTGGGATCCTCCACAGCGAGAGCGAGGGTTGACAATGGGGTAACGGATGCTGCTGTCCTCCAGCCAGCCGGCCTCACAGCGGTCCAGGAGCTGGAACTTCCACGCAGCGTACAGTTGACCCACTTTGGCCACAGCCGAGCCTTCTCGAATGCAAGCCTTCACCGCCTCTGCATAGTTCACCTTCTTAAAGCGTTTGAGAAAGTACACTTTGCCTGAAGGGATAAAGAGGGAGAGGAGAAGGTGTTTGTTGTACAGTAAGAACAACTGCAAATGTGAATGTAAACAGAGCAAGTGCATTGATCAGGAAGGCAAAAGGAAAAAAAGAGAGAGTGAAGCCCCAGAGACAAGCCGAGCCCTGAGGGAAGATATCCTCAGCGCTCCTTGCTTCTCTGCCTGTCTGTGTTCAGAATATGAAATCGTTCCAACAAGCCGTCCGGGCACCGGCTCAAAATCGAAAGGCACTACTCTGACTCAAAATTACTCTTAAAACGCTTCCATTTTTGCTTTCATCTCACCTCTTGGGACACTTTTTCGCCCGGCAGTTTTAAGGAATTGGCTGAATTGATTCAACTGAACTGAATCAAAACTAAGGATTCTCCTAAGAATGAAAAGAGAAGATAAAGAACCAAAACGAGAACAAAGAGTTTGATGGTTTCTCCAAACAGACACAACAAGAAAATCATGTTCGTATCCTCAGGTTTGCGCTTGGCTCAGCTATGGATTTTATGCTTGTTTATGTTCCTGCTGGCTATTAGAGTGGCAGAATATTGTCTCATATTTCCCCGGGGGACGCTCTGTAAATACCTTCCAGCTGGACGGAGCAACAGTGACCACTGCTGAGACCTCCCCCCCACAACAGACTGTCCACAGTAATTAACACACAGGGGAGGCCATGAGCAATCGTTTAAGCTTACTGTCATACTACCGTTTTCACGCTAAGGAAAATTGATGGCACTGTTTCTTTGTTTCAGTTCGGACTATCCCAACATTGTTCATGATTAATTGAAGAGCATTGTGTTTTGTCTAAATAATAAAAAAAACTTCTTGGTTTTTAGAATTCTCTTTTAAACTTCAAAGAGGTGCTGGCAGGATTGAAGTTTTGTCCAAATCACATTTTTAAAATACCCTGTTATGTTTCACTAATCAACCAATGTTTTAAAGCAGTTGTTACAGAGTTTTGGAAATACACTTATTTGCTTTCTTGTGGAGTAAGAAATAAAATATCACTAGGATTCTCTTGTTTGTTAGGTAAATACAAATCTAGTTGGATATAAGGATGGTTTGAGCACATTTCTACGAGAAAGCATACGGTGCACAACTTTCTTTATTGTGTGTTGTTTTCTTGGTCACAGGGATAGCTTCTAGTTGCTAAGCTAACCTGCTGTGGGCTTTTTTAGCATACTGATCTGAGTGTGCTATCAATCTTCTCAAACTGACTGATGGCAAAATAGCTAGTATATGTATAACCAAAAATAACAAACTGTCCCTTTCATTATCAATAAATCAATACAAATAATTTGTTAATCCCAGGTAGAAATCAAAAATCAAATCAACGGCGAAAAAAAATCTCTCTACAAGAAAGATAGACAGGGAGAAGATAACTTTATTTTATAATCAATACTTATATTTACCCTTGATTGCTGGTATCTCTGATGTACATCACACCCCCACAGAGAGTCTGCTCTCGCGTCTCTGTCACTGTTAAGGAGTAATAATCACATAATGCTGTAAAACCTTTTATTACAGTTTTTTCTCATCATACACGTTGAGAGGTTTCGACTACCCCGAGTTTACGGATAACTTTCATGATGAAAAAAACGAATCCAGCCTCCGACTTTCTAAAGTAAGTTTGAGCTTATAAACCTGGAGATGTGTGACGGAGACACTATAGCAGACTCTCTGTGGGGATGTGATGTAAATCAAAGAACTTGGAGATGAAAGATGCTGGCACCCAGAGGACACTGTGGCCGGAGCATGGGCAGAAGGAACACAGCCTGATGTAAATCCAATGGCCTGAGGCTGGCAAGATCACAGGCAAAGATCACAGGCATGGACCTAATTTCCCCACTGGCCAACAGTCATGGTGGATCCTCTCCCTATACAGTACCACAACAAATCCAGTGCCACCAGTTTCTTGTTTTCTTCCAATTATGAGCAGACATTCTGAGTACTCAGTTGAATGTTTGTATTTAGTCGTATGATCATGCAGATGGACTACAAAGTGTTTCTGATCTTCAGATACAGACATGTCTGTGAACACCACTATGGCCTCCAACCATACATCTCTCTCTCTCTCTCTCTCTCTCTCTCTCTCTCTCTCTCTCTCTCTCTCTCTCTCTCTCTCTCTCTCTCTCTCTCTCTCTGTTTCTCACCATTGAGCTTGGAAGTGAAGCAGAAAGCATCATAGCGCTCGTCCTCCTTGTGCCTGTAGCCATAGTTACGGACGCCAGCGGGGGTGTCCTTGCGGCCGCACTGGTCTCTGGGATGAGAGATAGGGTACTGCACTGAGCCGTCCTCCAGCCATCCAGCATTACACCAGTCCAGCCCTTCCAGCCAGGCCTGTGGCGGGAGATAATGTACATTAGTGGGTCATACTGAAGGATTAAATACACTATTAAGAGGAGAAGGAATTTCATTTATCTCTTCTGACATAACTCTGGACTTCATATGGGTTTCTTCTTTTAAAGCCTTTGGTAAAATTATTGGATTGGTCACGCATATTTCTAATTTTAGACTTACTATTGTAGTGTATGACTGAAGGTTGTAGCCAGTAGTGCATTATTAATATTAAGTATAAGAGTAGACAGTAAATGAATGTGTTCTGTCTTTGACACATACTCGTATCTCCTCCCATTGACAAAATGCATTACTTTAACATAAGCATTAAATGTATGAACATCTTTGTGATCCTTCCACATACGTACTATTTCTATACTGACTATTTTTTTACATTATCATTTATTTTACTTTGTTTATGTTTGCACCATAATGCACCAAAAACCAACATATCAAAACAAACCTGAATTGTGATTCTAATGTGTGTTATACATTTTAATCCATAGAATTGGTTTGGGATTTCGACATGATTCAGGGCATGTGAAATACAGGAAATGCATGAACTCACCTTGTGCAGTTGAGAGTGAGAGGCCAGAATGGCGTCCTGCTGTTTGCAGGCATCCTCCCCCTGGTGGTAGTTGAGTTTATAGCGCCCCTCTCGGGGGTAATAAGGAAACACCACTCCTACAGGTGACAGAAACAGACCTTCTCTTGAGTGTGTTTGTGTAAACTGTTTGAATTTCACTTGAATCTCACGTGAACTGGTCTATCTCTCCGGCCAACATTTTATACAAGAGCCAGTAGAGCATTAGAAATGTCAGAGCTTCGACGAAATCTCTTTCAATGCATCTTTAATTCCTGACCTTCAAGGTCAAGGTTGACAAATCCTGTATCGTCCTCCATGTCGTTAGTGACTTCACACTCAAAGCGTCCATAGTCCTCCAGTGTGACATTTTGGATGATCACCGAGGCGTCTCCGGGTCCTGCCTGCTCCAGAAACACTCGGCCTTTGTACGAGCCAAACACACGCTGCTCCCTGGAGGAATTTCAGAGAAATCTATGAATTAATTTTGCCCTCATAAAAACTGCTGTGAGCAAACATATTGAGAAATACTCTAACATGAGAAATTCTCTATAGATTGATTTTATGTGGCAACTCTTCTTTTATCGCCTACTGAAAAGAGCAATGGTTTTTTTATTGACACAGTGGGTTCATGAAAATTAAATATTACATTGTCATGGTGTGTTTGGCACGATAGTATGTGGCAGTAAATATATTGAAAATCAGTTAAATCAAATAAACATTTCTTGGGTTCTTTAACTGAGAAAACAAAAATGTATTGCAACAAAATATACAAAATGATTGACTGAAAACCTCCCAAGTGCCACAAAGACGTCCTCAAACTGCAGAGCATCGGTCACTTTGGTCCATTTGATCCGAATGCGAGCGGGGTCGGTGTTCTCCGGCTCATGGTGGTATCTGCAGGGCAGAGTGATGGAGCCGCCGCGGTGTGTCACCACTTTACCCGGAGCTGTCTGCACAATCACTGCCCCGGTGTCATCCTCTGTGGGAAGATAAACTCTGTTTGAGGGGAATATAGTTAAATGACATTTTCCTTAATCTTACTTCTCTGCTTTCTTACAATGTTTTTACTTTCTTTATTCATCGATACTTAACTACTTCATTGGCTAGAAATCTATATTTTGAATAATGCAACTTATCAAAGTTAATATTTGTTTATAGTTTCTACAGTGTGTACAGTATGTCCATTGTCCCTTGTGAATGATAGTGTTGTTTCTTGTTGGTTGTATGTACAGTTGAATTGTTGCATGTAGCATTATTGAATTGAATTGCAATACTAATATGTGCAGTCAATGCTAACACGTTCACAATATGCATTTCCCACAGAAAAACCAAACCTGGAACCTCCTTGCTTTGAAGCTACAGTGCTTACTGCTCCACCTATTATCAGATTACCCCACTCCAAATTTTGTCCTCAACCTAATTTGCCAAAATGACCCGGGACTAATGGTTACCATAGGCCTCAGCTCCTAATGGGCGATAACAAGACCTAGTTTGCATTTTTGGCAGACATTTGCTCAGACGTGTGTGTGTGTGTGTGTGTGTGTGTGTGTGTGTGTGTGTGTGTGTGTGTGTGTGTGTGTGTGTGTGTGTGTGTGTGTGTGTGTGTGTGTGTGTGTGTGTGTGTGTGTGTGTGTGTGTGTGGTGTGTGTGTGTGTGTGTGTGTGTGTGGTGTGTGTGTGTGTGTGTGTGGTGTGTGTGTGTGTGTGTGTGTGTGTGTGTGTGTGTGTGTCAGACAACAAGTGCAGGGTAAACATTTAATGAGCGGCTGCAAGAGGTTTTCTGCTATGTTGTGACCAGATAAAGGCACTAATCATTTTTCTTCCAAACCGGCAATTAGTAATGTCACTGATTTCGGCTCTCTTCAAAGTTGTTTATCACCAGCAACCATGAAAGCAAAGTGGTGATTAATCAAAACCTTAAGACTTTATTTCCCAAAAGCAAAAAAATGATGTTAAGACCAACAACATCACGCTGCTAGCGACTCCTACTGGTATTAAGAATGCATGTGTGCAAGAAGGTGGCTGAAGATAGGAAAATATGCAACTCTACATGTGTTAAACTGTCTTCGTAAAACTGGCAGCTCAGAAGCAGAAGGCATTCGTTAATTACTGCAAACAAGCTCTGAACAACGCCGTAAACACAAAGCACCAGACACAAAGCAGATAAACACAGTTAAAGACTAGCTTGAAAACAATGTCAAACTTGTTTTTCCGTAAAGTTAAAGAACATCTACTCTGTGGTACTTTTCTTCATGTTTTCCATTTTATAACCCCATACTTGCATCTTCTACATTTAATAGGAAAATATACATGTCTAACTAGTTGGAAAGTATACACAGATTACATATAATGCACAGGCCTACATAGTGGCCGGGAAGAGGAGTTCAATCATTGGAGAATATCTTGTAACAAAAGAACAAATGTCTATGTACATTCACTTCTACATTGCAGTAAAAGGGACAGCCAGGTCTGATGCAGTCGATTAGTTTAATCCCTGATGTCATCAATATTCTTTGTGGGTAAATGTTAGGAATGTATTACAGTCCTCAACTGGATACTTGGTGGTAGTGCCAGATGTGATATAATATTACCATCTTTCAATATTCTTGACTTAATAGTATTGGGGTCAGGCATAATGTTTGAAATATTATTTTTAAGGCTTTATCATGCCGGTTTTCTTTCTTTCTTTCTTTCTTAGGATCGTTAAACCCTGGGTAAGACTTAACATGAGCATCATGGTGCCATCTCTAAAACTAATTTGACCTCTGCAGACAGTGTATCCTCCTTAATTATTGGTACATGATGTAACAGCTATGCAGATCAGTGCAGCATAGGAGCTCCTTTCTGTGCTGCTGTGAGCTGCAAGAGGTGCAAAATAAATATATTTTCCTTACCGAGCACGTGCACCACTTTTCTCCTTCCCTTGTCTGTGTCAGCAGGCAGGCAAGTCACAGAGAGTGCAGAAGTCAGGATGAAAACCAAAAAGGACATTTTCCTGAAGGCCAGAGGCCGCAGACGCTTCAAGAACTGCCGGAAGGGACACAACAGAGAATAATGGTGATCACAGGTTAAAAGGAAAAATTGATAAACCAGACAGCAGCGTTGCAGGGAAGCAATCAAGAGTACCAAGGACAATCACTTGACTTATTAGGGGTCCAAAACAGAAGACTAAACTTTATAGGAAAGGAATAATAATAAACTATAACCCCACATGTTCCATGCAACATGGGAACAATCCACCTATGTCTCCTGCCTCTGTCATGCTGCAACTCTGACAGAGAACTTTAGGTGTTTAAAAGTTAGATAGCTGAGCTGTTCATTGAGAAAAGTGAGCCAAACAAAAAGCAGCAGATAATTGATTTGTTCAGTTCTCTCAAAACAAGAAAATAAGGTTAGCGAACTGTGTCTTGAATATTTTTGGTTTGAGAGTCATGCTTTCAAGTCACAGTCTGCTACACTGAGCAGTTGTAAGCTGCCAGCTGTGTAGCTCACAGTCACCGTATGAAAAGAGGAGATAGTCCTCGCCGGATGGGCAAAACTTGTATCTTGTTTGGCACTTTTTTATCTTTTCTGCCAAGTGACAGTTGAAGGGAAAAGTAAGTATTTGGAAAGTTTTGAGGGGGAAACAGGATTTGCAGAGTAGGGGCCAATAGAAAACAAAGGAATATATGCAGACATGAAATCCTCACAGATACTGAAGAAGTAAAATAGCAAAACATGTACATATGTAATGTAGAGAAAAGCAGAAAAATACCACAACACATTCTGAAACTCTCTCCAGAGTATGGAAACAAACTCCCTCAGGCAGTGACCATGAAGGATCGCCTTGCTGAAAAACTCCTGAAAGCTACTGCTGCTTATTCTGCTCAAGAGCTCATTATCTTTACACACTCTCTAGGTTATGGATTAGTGTGCAGTGGTTGCTCAGAGCACTACAGCCGCAGACTGGTGTGTATTTTGACTCAGGGACTGCATAAATCCATGATGCATTGCAACAAACTTTCAACACATGCTTACGCACATAGTTTGTACTGAAATAATATTATCCTAACAGCACAATACAGGAGTCAAGTAGGTATACAGCAGCTGTGTGCACTGCTCTGCATTGTCAGTGTCACCTGAGAATAATGACTTGTATGTAAACAGCACTGCTGCAGTACGTAACATCTGAACAGGCCCCAGTGAAGCAGGGTTACTAAAGCAGCAACATTACATGCACATTGAAAACTATTAACCGCCCTGCTGCATCATTTTCTCAAGGTTAGTCCAATGAACATCCCTGCAGTTCCCACGCAGCACAGAGAACTGCAGAGCATAACCGTAGTAATGGAGCACAGAAGTGAACTTACCATGGCTATCACAACAGGATGAATGTCTGGATGCAGCAGATGTGGCGTTTTACTCCTCAGCCGGGCTAAGCGTTGTTCTGCAGCAGCTCTCACCCTTCTGCCTCCCTCTCTCTCTCTCTGTTCCCTGTCCCATCGCTGATCTCTCGCACTGCAGGGGAACCACCGGGGTTTGTGGGTCCCGCAGTCCTCCGATGACGCAGCACACATTTCAGTGTGAGGCTGTGTGGATAAGGCAAGCACTCAGCAATGATTTCACACTGATTTATTTGTGAGTGTATTTCCTGTTGTTGTTAGAGCCATTAGAGTATCACTTATTGGTATGAGTGTCACACAGTTCGTAGCAGTTAATGCAGTTAGACCTCATTAACTTTCAGGAAGAACATACACAAATTGAAATAATGAAAGCTGTTTGTGTTTGAAGATTAGAACTGAATTATGTCATTATGCCAACACAAATCAAATTCATTCAAACATCTTTATGAGGAACAGTAATAAAGAATAGATTTTTTATCTCAAATGTTCCCATTGTAATACATTATAAGAATTGTACGACATTGTAAGACAAAAAATGTCAGTCGTAAAAGTTTACTGCACTATGTGATGGCTGATGTATTGCACCATCAGCATTTACATGTATTGGCTCCCTATAAGCTTCACTTTCAGGATACATTTTTGGACTGACTCCAGGTTGGGATCTCCCTTTCACAATAAAAGCCTATAGACATACACTCTGTGTCTATGTTGACCAGAGAGCTTGTTGCTGAGAGCCAACATTAACCAAATATTTTACAACAATCCTATCCCCAGATAGCAGAACAACCAGAGAAACGTAGACACTGTTTACTGTATGTCTCTTTTACCAGACAAAAAGTAAATGTTGCTACTTTTATTTGTGATATTAATTGTGATATTTAATATTAATTAATATTTAAATATTTCAGTATTGTTGCTTTTCCTCAAGCAGTAAATGCCATTACTTCCTTCACAACTTAATACAATGTTTAATAAAAACCAAATGTAATACAGCGATAATTCATGATGACATAATTAGGATCATCATTTATTGCAATAATCACTATTGCATCAATTCATTTGGCCCAAAAAAGCAGATGGTTTCCAACAATAAACAGACATATGAACCATATTTGGTTAATATACTCAATACATTCAGTGGCTTCATTGATATCTGTGAATTTGTAATAAAGACTGGGTCCAGCAATAGTGAGTGCTGGAATGATCCCAGTTGAAGATGAGACCTCTCCAGTGGTTGTGACAATTTTAGTATAACACTTTGAATGTATCAGTTAATGTTCAGCAGTGTGAAATCAGCATTTAGAAAGCTTTTTGCTCCTGCAGCCTTTTCATTGCATTTTTGGCAAGACTGTCAAACTATTGGTTTCTGTAGCCCTACATGCTTTTGCTCTAAATGCAAAGCATCACTGTTGTGTCTGACTTTGAAGACACTCTCGAGCAACATATGGGCATGTGGTGGAGACTCTATATGAGTCTTTTATGAGAATAAGGGCGAAATAAGACAGGCCTTTGAGATGATAGCAGCTGACAATGAGAAGAGACAGGACACTAAACAGCATGAGACAGCTGCACTGTGTGTTGAACTTCTTTTAATGAAACTGCTCTGATGGATTTTATTATTTGCATACTGTGCTGCTGTGATTAGTTGACTATCAGTGTCTTGTAGAACGATGTTTCTGCAGTCCTGTTTGGCATCACTTTGAGAACGACTCCCAGAGTTTGAGATATCTTCCTGGGTTCTCCCATAGAGCATCGCAGACCTATCAGCATGAGACCAGAATAAAGAGCAGGGAAACTGTTGACAATTAGGCAAAGCTTTGTCGAAGTGAGAAATTCTAGGTCAACGGTATTGACAACTTGCTTTCAGGCTATAACCAGCAGCTGGATGCCTCCAAAGACTTTAACAGTTGAATTGATGTGTTAGTATAGTGTGTTCATTGGATTTAGACAAGGCTTTTGCAGAAGAGTTGCTTCAGTTAAGAGACCTCAGAGCAGAGCAAGATTATCCTCCTGCAAATCTATTATTAGTTGAGGAATACCCTTCAGGCAACTTCCTTCTAATATTGTTGTTGCACTGAGGCTTTTCTAAGATTACCTGTTACCTCAGAGGGAGATAATTTTGTCTAATGAAATGCACAGAAATTGAACTGAGAACAACCACAGGGCAGAGATGTCCATCAGCAGTGATTCAGAAGGCTGGATTTTGAGGATTTAAAAGCCCAGTTGTCCAAACAAAATTAAGAAGAAGGATTGCTAAAGGTAGGGATCAATAGTGTTGTTGCATTGGTGCATACAAGTGTCCAGTATAGATGTGCTAGAGTTCAGTTTGTCCCTGGAGATTCATGGATGTGCAGAGCTGGTAATGTTAGGCAAAAATCAATGAATGTAGCTTCAAGTTGTTCAGTGTGAAACATTTGTTCACTGCCTACTGAAGGAACGCTGCATTTACCTTGCGTGTAACAATTAAATATACTGGCTGCATAGAGCTTGAATCCTGTACAACTAGAGCCGATTGGTGCATTTACACTTAAATGACACCCACCTGCTACCAAACATGGCTGAAGAGTCAGGGGTCCTAAAATGGGCTAAAATGGCCACTTTTGACACCCCCACCACAACCACACCCTTTGTGTTGTCTATGCATTTTGCTAACCTTAAGTAAGCAAATTAAACAAATGTATTAAGCAAGATGCATCTTTTGTACTCAGTTCAATATTAAAGTATGTTGTAAAAAAAAATGTAATCTTGAATCATAAATCAGGAGCCTTGTCATTCCAGTTGTTGTTTTTTTAAATAAACAAAACAAACAAAGACCACTCACTTGGTTGAGCTGGACACCCATATACTAGGGCCTGGTCCATGTGCGGAGGAGCGGGGTTCAAATCCAGCAATGGACAATTTTCTAGGACCCCTCACAGTTTTTAATCCAGCCTTTCAGCCACATTTGTTCAGTGAAAGAGGAATGTGGATTAGAATGAGCCAAATACTGGTGAGCAACCAGAATCACCCGTTTTGAGACTATATCACCCAAAAGTGGCTTGAAAGATTGCTTTTTTAACAGTACACCCCGGGTGCTACTAGCATTGAAGATTGAAGAAGATTCAACTTTATTGCCATTACATAGTACAGGTAGTAACTAAACGGTTTCTCTGCATTTGACCCATCCTAGTGTTAGGAGCAGTGGGCTGCCATTATGTACGGCGCCCATTATCCACTAGTCACCCGGGTGCAAACAGCATCTGCCTTAATCTTTAGACTTACACTATGTAAGAAGCTCATACATTACCTATTGGTTTCTAGATGGATTAAAATATACTATCCATTTATTAGCCCGGACCTACAGGACTTAATGACATGTAGTGCCTTAATACTTTAAATGAAACAATGTAATGCAGTGATAAAACCATTCATTCAAAAGACATTTCATGATAAAATGCTACCTCTCCCTTCACTGCAGCGTGAGTTGTTTAGTTGTATTTTTCAGAGCCACAGCTCTCAGGAGCCCGTCTGCACAGCCGAGCAGACATCTGCAGCAGAGATCCCCTTGTGACTCCCATCATGGGCTTAAAGAGCTGTTCGGAGCGGCCACATTTGATTTAAAGCCTCTGTCACACACGGAGAATGCATTACTAGCATGTGCAAGCAGGGGCAATGGCACACTTCAGCATGAAAAAGCTGCTGAGGGAGAGTGAATTAGATGAGTCTGCCTCTCCCTGTCTGTTGACCTATTGCTCAGCGAAGTGCGCTGGATAATTACTTATGAGTGGGCTGCTGTTATTGATGGGCTAGGGATGGAGACAATGGTTACAATGCTGTTTTATAAAGCGTTATCTAACCGTGTAAATAACCTCCTTTATCCCTGTCAAGAAAACACTGTGTGTTCATTTAAATGACCAGAATGCATCCAAAGCATTAGCATGTAATTGAAAAGGCTTGGCGGCCCATCACATTACATTGTCTGTTGAAAATCTGCTGTTTTATTTTGTCAGTCATTGTCAGGTTTCACACTGGGAAGAGTCCTCACAGTATTCACAATTGTCTCTGCTGTCTTTAACCATTTAAAAATAAAACGTGTTAACACTTCACAATACATCCTGGTACTTATAGTATAATTCCCCTACTACCGCATTATGTCCTCTTAACTTATGGGGTAAAATCTCTATGTGAATCATTTGACTACATTAAAAAAAGACCCTGTTATTACTCATTACCACTCTCCAATCACCTACAGTTTCAGCAAATTCTCCTTTTGTTTCAAATAACCTTTAGAGACCCAGTCCTTTTGCCTATTAAAAAGCTTGCAACTTATTTCTCCTTTCCTCAATCATTCCACATTGTTACTATCTTGTTTTTTGAACCACTATTCATTTTAGTACCAGTAGGAACCTGTAAGATTCACATGATGATATTACATCGTTAGTCAAAGGTTGAAGTTCAAAGATCTCTGTGTGCTTTTCTGCACCACCATTGCAGATAAGCCGTTTTAGCAGGTGGGTTTTTGGTTCCAGTGTTTTGCAAAAATAAAGCCTTTCATTAGTCGGCCATAGGCTCAATCGCCATTGTGTTTTCTCATTCAGCAATTGATGGTGACTTGAAAAGACATTCACTCAGTTGAAACATTCAAGAGTATTGCTTTAAGAGGATTTATCCAGTAAATGTTGAGTTAAACTGTTTGATTTATACATGGCTTCTAAAACTTAGTACAAAAAGCCTGCTGGTCGTTTCAATGTGTTTGTTTAAGCAAACAAAAACCTCAATCATTTGATGTCTTTGTGAAAGTCAATGATGAGAGCCACAGCAGCCTCCTTTACTGGGCCACCCACACAGAGCGAGCACAAAGCAGCCTCACTCAGCAGAAAATAAACAAACAGGATAAAGGAATGTAAAACGTGAATGGATGAAACACAATTTAGGCACACACCATCAGACAGAATGAAGAATGGCAGAGGCACATCTTATTTTCCCACTTAGAGAAAATAAAGCTGTATTTTTAAAGCGAGATAGGCTGGCAGCAGACAGCGGCAATGTGTTCAACAGAGTGAGAGACTGACAAGAGCCGCTGTTGA